AATTCGAGTCTGACTATTTTTGTACGTTATGAAAAGTAGGGAAGGTCGGCAGACGACGGACGATTTCAGCAGCCAACGGCAGTGTCCGATGCTGACGTTCGACGTTCACCCGCATTCTTCTTTTTCATTTTTTGGCATTAAATGTTATCATTCATTTTAACCTAGATGATTGAAAATTTGAATTGGGTATTGGATAAAGAAAAGAAGTTGTATCAATAGTCAAAGCTTGAAAGGTAGTTGAATATTATTTATCTGAGTTCAGCTTTAGGAATTTGTAATTACAGTAATGTAATTCAATGATTACCGTAGCAAATTTCAAAACTTTCAATAGGCCTATTAAATAGTATTCATATTTAGAGAACCTGATATCATATTTAAGAATACCACAACCCAATTGGCATGTTGCTAGCCACAAAATAATATTAAAATGGTAGTGTCTCAGTCTTAGATGTGGAAGGGACGGATTTAATTCCCGGCACAACCACAAAAACGTTGCACAAAAACTTTATCCTCAGGTTGACCCCTTGTAAAATGCCACTGGCACTGGCGTAGAAAAAATGAGAGCACTGAGAACCAATTCTTTAGGTGGTAGCAACGGGATGCCAACGGCAACGTTAGTTGGGTAGTGTACTTTGTGTAGGTTAACTGATGCTTACTGGGCAGGTATAATGCAGTCGTGTTGGGTGCAAGTTCTTAAACACTTCTTAGATAAAATAAGTTCTCTGGTCCAACATCTTGGTCTGATTTTGGACATTTTCTGTTTAGCATGCACATCGGCACCAGCTGAAAGGGTGTTTTTGTAAATCAATAATTCTTGAATGTGTTGTAATGTTGCAGTATTCCTTTGATATTAAAACCACAAGTCTCAATAATGCAAAAACATGACATATTGTACAAGTTTATTTTTAGACATTTCTTTGACATTTAAATAAACTGAAAAGCTTGAAGACATTGAACTAGGTCCTCAAAATAGCTTAAAAACCACTCATTTTAGCACGTTATTTCCAGATTTTTCCGGACCACCCTCCTTTGCTGGGGGATATTCCATACCCCCCAGGCCCCCCAAAATATATGTGTAGGACCGCCATTGCATTTACCATCGGCATTAACCCTACCACCCTTCCTAAAGCTATTTATTATATTGAGATAAAATGAATCTCAGTTTTAAGTTTTCGAATTACTCTTCCAGCCTCACAATTGTGTGTGAAGACGATGATTCCATCTGCAAATTACGTCATTGGCATTTGTCCCTCTTGGTAACCGGCTCAATATAAGCTAAAAGTAAGCCTAAACATACAACCATATAATAAGCACATAGTTGAAATAAAAAAAATATATTCTCAACTCAACGGCTCAGGAGTACATAAAACAATGATTTATTTTTAATTCAAACATTTAAACATATAGGCCGAATGATATTTAGTTTATGATTATTTAGTGTAGGTACCGATTAGGAATACAAGCAGACTACTGTAATTCTATTGAAATTTTCATCGCAAACTTTGGGTTTATGATAGCAAAATAGAGCCAAAAGTTTTTTTGTGAACATGAAATAGTTAGTCGTCTACTAAGATCCATGATGAAAATTGTTCATATGCAAGACAGCTTTGGTTATACAGGGTGGCGCAGATGGATCGGGTGATTTAAAATACTTGTCAAACTGTCAATTTACACCATTTTACATACATCCATTGATGTTGTATTCCTAATTACACTTAGTGCAAACCTAAACGAATTTAACTTTTTTTGACAGATATTGAATATGAGTTTCCCATTTTAGTTTATAATCAAAGTGTATTCCTAGAACCTTGTGGGTATTGACTGTTTTTATCTCTCCACAAGATAAATTTTCCAACTTGTTCTTTTCACAATTTCTAATTTTAAAGTACATTAAGTGGGTTTTAGAATCATTCATTAAAAGACCATTTTTGTAAAACCAATTTTTTAGTTCATCCACAGTTGCTTTAATTGATTCTTCTAATTGCTGAAAATCATTGTTTTTACCACGACATTATACATCAGTATACAAAAATAAACTACCAGTTATTTGAATCAAGGTCATTATGAAAATCAGAAATAGCAATGGTCCCAGAATAGAACCTTCAGGTATACCATAATGGACACTACCCCATCTAGATGAAAACCGTTTGTTCTGTTTGTAAACTACTGTGCGCTGTTTTCTATTTAGTAAGTACTTAGCACTAAGCTGTACACCTCGTAATTAATGTGGCCTCATTCTGGAGATAAAGCAGAGAGTAGAACACTACATCAACTACATAGAGTACTTAGAGTACACTACATAGAGTACTCTAGTTGTTTCATAAAATAGTTATAAAACATAAATGTATGTATATAGCACATACTATAACCTGAACACACAATCCAGGGAGTATTAAACATCGATGAGAGGAATCAGATGAGCAGTAGCACATGGGCCTGGCACAACGCATTAGACCGAGTCTACACTATCCGTTTTCTACGGTTCTGTTGAATGGGAGCGTTTTTGAAGGAAGACACCATCTCATTGTATTGAATTAGCATGCACACATTGTCCAGTCAAAACCGGAAACATCAACGGGATACTGCTGCCACGTGGTGGGGCTGCGGGATGTGAGGGAGGGGGAAGCCCCTGATGTAGTGAAACCTGTTAAACTTGTGCTCCTCATTTTTTAAAATTTTTACATAAAATTATACTTTTTCTATTAAGTTTTTCATATGTAAATATTCAGTTTTTAACTCTTCCTAAAAGTGCAGAGCCAGTTTTTCTATTTAAACAACCAATTATTAAATATCAGGGTTTTCCAAATACTATTTTAATATAATTCAGGATTATGCAGAGAAGAGAGAAGATGGGACCACTGATAAGGCTGGCCAAGGAAAGTTTGCGAGTTGACCTTTGACTAGGTAGGCAAGTCAGCTGTTTAATTTCATCTCAACAAAGTTTGTTTGCAAAGGACTGAACTTTGAACTGTAACTGATGAGGCTCTAATACTTTGTGGCCACATCTCATTGATCACATTAAAAAGGTGGAACAATTGTTATCAACAACTAATTGTACTTAATTTGGAATCACAATAAATAAATTTATCTGTAACTGTTCCTTAGAGTTTACCTATTTATACGAGGGGGTACCCAAAAATAACCGGAATTTTGTTTAAAATATACATATATTTATTTTTTTTTACAAAACAACCTTATAACCTTCAAAGTACTCTCCATTGCACTTTATACACTTATCCCATTGTTGTTTCCCCTGTTCGAAACATGCTTGGAACGCCGTTGCTTGAAGGCGCGTTGTCGTGGTGAAAAAACCACTCCCATGTTTGCCACAAATCAGGTCTTTTGCGATGGATGCTGTTCCGTAGCTAGTCTTCTTGACTTCAAGATAAAACACTTGATTTACTGTCTGGCCTGGTGGAACAAATTCTGAATGGACAATCCCCTTCACATTAAAAAAACAAATGAGCATTGTTTTCACACTCGATCTGACTTAATTATTTGAAAATCTACACAAATTAAGCTTTCCAACAACCCGTTAATTAACCAAATCGGTCCAGTAGAACTGTAGATTTACTTGTACAAAGATTTTCAAACCTGAATTATTATATGTAGATAATGTTTTTACTTGTAGAGCATTAAATGTACATAAACAAAGAGCGTGAGCATAATCGACGAATACACCAACCTAAACCAAAATCAATCACATGATTTAAAGAGCAATTACACACGCCTTGTTTGCAATCAATTACGGTACACAAAATTTGTATTATCCTTGCTATCAAAAAAGTGTATCTACAAGTCCAAAACAAAAATCCCACTTTTTGGGTCGAGAAAATCCCGTTTTATCCTACACATGAATTTTGCAAAAAATCCCTTTGCGAGATATTTTTTACTATAATTTAAAATAGCTCTTTAAGCCTTGCTATAGTACTACATTGCAATTATTCCATTAGGTATGGACTGTTTTATCTATATAAATCAGTAAGAAAAATAAGAATATAGGTTAGAGCAAAAAATACCTTTTTATCCCACATCCCGTTTTAATCCCTCATATAGTCTAAAAAATCCCGCTTATGATCTAAAATTTCCGTTTCGGGACAAAAATCCCACTTATATTCTAGAATCCCTGTTTCGGGATAAATATCCCGCTTATGGTCTAAAATTCCCGTTTCGGGATAAAAATCCTGCCTAAGGAGACCCTGCTTTTAGGGACGTTGCAATACTATCGATACCATTAGATATCGATAATATTGTATTTTGTTACAAGAATTATCGATCTCGGTATCGAATCAAGCGATACATTATTTTTTTGGGGGGGGATATTAAATTCCATACCCTCCAGACCCGCCAATGGTCATCTCCTCCCCCGAAATGAAATACTGGGACCGCCACTGCACATAAGATATCGGTGAAATTTCTGCTATAATAGATGGAGTGGGTTTACAAATAGAAAAAAATCAAAATGCTCTATTCATAAACCAGATAGAAATAACCTTACTTGTTTCACCTGATCCATAATGTATGAAATTGAGTATTTTAAATCATGTTTTATCTATGGCTTAATATGTATGCTTTAAATTAAGTGGTATGAGACTTAATTGTCATCAGTGGAGGATTCTGATTTTATTATCCAAATTCAATTAATATTATATACACTACTTACCATATATGTAACAATTTATTTTAGTTATATTTCTTTCAGTATTTATTACAAGTTTACTTGTTGGAAATTGGAAGCATCTACATTTTTCCAAATAACCACACGAGACCGACAACTCCCATTTAAATGGGAATATTACCGTCTCGACTAAATGAGATGTCGTCGTTAATGATTGTCGATCATATGTGACACACCCTTACACAAGTTGAGAAAAAAAGTTATAGGGCTTCACGGTCTTTGATGTAGCTTGCCTTCGAAACAGCATGTTTCGCAAAAAAATATGAAAAATATGTCAAGCTCAGAGCTCAGGATTTTCTTCTTCTCTTCGGGTTGAAAAGAATGAAAAGTGAGGTTATTAATACTTTTGTCAGGTTATTTCTTTGAAGTGTTATTCCCTTTCCCTTATGAATTTAGACCATAACTAGGTTTCAATCCTAACTTAATATCGTCTAAGGTTTTATAGCCTGGTACGTGAACTACAAACCTGCTCAAAGCAAAATGGGTAAAAGGTTGTGAGGCGAATTGGAACCTAGGTTATGTCAGTCAAGGTAAGAAACCAAACTTCTTTTACACATTTTGCTCAAAGTTTCATGAAATACTTTTCAGACCAAAGCAAATAGGTTTACTTTTCATGGAGATTTATATTGACTTGAAATTAGAGATTTGTATCAATAATTCATTCCCCCATCGCCATTAAAATTTGCTTTGGCCTACTCTGGGCTAAGCCTAGTGTTGACCGATCCCTTGCCATCATTGCTGATTCTCTTACAACAAGAAATAAATTGGCAATAGCCTTTTAAGTGTTATATGTGGATCTAAGGCCTTCTAAACAAACTGCAAGGCAAAGGCTAAATCTGCATAGGTTACTAGGCTCAGACATGTAGGCTTGAAATCAATGAACACATATTGTATAAAGATTCTTGCACCTACAACGGAAGTCTTGTGTCTAGATACTACAATTATTAAATGTTTGCTCCTGTAAGTTAAGCGGGCAGATTGTAGAATGCTGCAAAATTATCCAACTTGTGGTGGTACGGTAATGTTTAACATATTTTAATTTTTCACGGTACCCTATCATTTTGTAGCTTAGGCTATAGCCCGTCTTGCTATCCTCATCTTCATCTGGAATATAATTTGTAATTCTCACATTTACAAAAATAAAATGTAGATCCAAGCTTAAGTATTTAATTACACTTTACTTAGGCCTTAGGCTAAACTTAGGCCTAGGTCTACTGTGTGTCCTAACAGCAAGTGAGGTTAAAGTTATTTCATAAGCTTACCTAAGTTAGCTTACTCAATTAAGTAAACAGTAACTAAAGTACAAAGTCAAAAACCAGACAGTAATTATCCCGGTTCATGTAGGCCTTAAAAAATTATAAATGCCTAATAAGCTGATCCATGGCTCGTTATCACAGTTCTACTAAGAACTATTGGCTTAGAGCAGCTGTGTGCAGGCATGACAAACGAGGGAGGGTAGGGAGGGAGTCGCATATCACAACAAGCGCTTACAAATAAATTAGCCTAAATGAGACAAGCCATTGTCTCAGCAGGCCAGTTTAGTTGTACTCTTCACGCGTGTTGTGAACACTGTGCCGATCGCTGTGGGTGTATAAGCTATCATTTAGCAGTGTACAGTGCAAGTAGGCCTAAAGAGTCAGCTGCAAAAAAAAAATAATAAAAATACTACCGGTACTTCAGTGCATAAATTAATTATTGACTTTTAAATGAGTGGAGACAATGCTAGAGTGTATAACACCTAATTACATTTTTGTAACAAAGTATAAAAATAGCCTGTTTTTGAACATCCTGGATTTTTCTCATGTGTCGGATGAGATTTGGTTCTAATTTATCCCGATTATTAAAGCTCTACTGCTTCATGTAGACAGCTTCTCTAGACACTTTGGCTGGCTAATTTGCTTTTCACTTCACTCGACTTATCCTGTCATTTTAAGATAAATAGTGTAATTTGAAATACGGTGTGAGTAAAACTACTTTTAAATTCAACTATCATACTAACATGTGCAATGCAGCGTATATAGGCTATAGCTAACTTGTTATCTAGTTCCTCTCATGCTCTACTTCACTTCTAATTCAACCCCTAGAGTTTTAGTTCAGCGCTGTAATGTATTCTCTCCCAGCCTTTTATGAGTTCGACACACCAACGGGAGTTATGAGTTCCTCAAGTAACGGAAGACAAATATTAAGGAAAACATAATACAGTAAGCCTTAAACAAAGGTTATTGGATTTGATTTAACACACCTTTTTTATGTAGAAATGCAAATTTTTGGGTATTTCAAATAAATTATTGAAAACACATTACAGTAGACTCCCTCTTATCTGGACTCCTCGGGACCGAGGCTAGTCCGGATAACGGATTATCCGGTTAAACCGACGTCCCCAAAAACTCGTAAAAATGGATTGTTTAAATGCGTATTCAACTTAAATTTAGAGAGCATTGTATTAAGACACGTGATCACTGGTCTCAAATCTTTTCCAAGAGAACGATCGTTTCAGTACCGCCCACTTCCTGCCGATCTAGTCCGGTTAAACCTATGTGCTGATAAAAATTGTCCGGTTAAAGGGATGTCATTTCCCCCGAGTGTATTCCGGTTAAACCGATGTCCGGTTAAAAGGAGTCCAGATAAGAGGGAGTCTACTGTATATGCCTGAGGGATTTTATCAGTGTATTAGCCCCATTGCAGCAAAATGCAGACTAGGCGAATTTAAATTCGCCTAATTTTCGATTGTAATTTTACTAAAATCTTGCCTCAAACATGCCAAACACATTTAGGCTAGGCTATTGGTGTGGTGATTTAAAAAGCTGTATAAGGGGTTCAGTATTTAGATATCCGCTTTTATACTGGCCAGTTAATGGCAAAAAATGCTGCAACATGTTCAATTGTTTAATAAAATCCTTCAACCTTAAATTGTTGTTTCCACCAATTGTTCCTTTCCTTTGGCACAACACAGTAGTACATTTTAGTTAAATGTCTCTATTTTCAAATTAACCTAGGAAATAAACACCGTCCAGTTGTTACGCACATTGTTTCCCGGGCTTTAATTAATTAGATTATAAAAGGTATAATGTTACCTGGATCTGCCAGAGTAATACAAAGGCTGTCTGTCGAAACTACGCGTTTCGAAGCAATAATAGCTTCATCATCAGGTCTTCAAGAACACTTTTCACTCATCAGAGGTCGTCAAATAAATATAATTTTTACAAACATACATACGTAAAATAGTAGGCCTATGATCCGCGTGCGTGCACTTAGACAGGTTTGTCATGACTGCAGCGGTGAAGGTTGGTGTTGTGAACTTTGTCCCTTGCCGGTCAGCTGTTCCTGGTTAGCTATTACAGTATCATACAATGCATTTGACTGGAAATTTAGTTTGTCGTTTAATAGATCATAACTTTTTGTTGCTTTGTATATCTCGTATTCTTCTATGGCGTTCATGAAGCTTTCTTTTGTGCAAAAATGTAGGGGTGTCATGTTTGTTTCGAAATTTGTATAGTTATGATTTCATTAATCAGATGGGCTGCATAGGCCTAATTGGATTTTAAATGATTTTTTGCTTTTGGAAGGTGTTCTTTGAATCTGGTTTAGAAAGCACGGCCGGTTTGTCCTAGGCTATATAAAATTAATTAATTATTTATAATTATATAAATTTTAATTAGGTAATAATCTTATTTTGTGACCGACATTGGTAGGCATGATCATAGTCCTTACAACACTGGATTATTTCCTACGGGCATACTTGAAGTAGAAGGTTTAGGTTTAAGTCCAACTTGGTCCCAAAGCTAAATGGTGAAATTCACATTGTTATCAATCAATAAACTTCTTTATTTCATAAAATGTACAGATTGGTACATGAAATTATGTCAACATAAGTTTTCTTATCTAGATCGCTAAAACTAGGGATTTTGCAGTAGTCAAAACAGAATATATATAACAATTAATGACCTTCAAATTGATTTTCCTTTCTTTACCTAATAATAAGTCCAGCTGATTAACTCATCAAATGCAAATTAAAGTAACAGAAAACAAACATAGAACAAATCAATGGAGACACTTATTTTTTAGTTTTTTTAGTGATTTTCAATTACAAAAAAAATCTTGAATGGAGTTAAATGCTGATTCAATTAAAAATCTTTTTAATGATTTTAAAAATTTATTTGGATTTTCCTCAATTTTTAAAGTTTCTGGAAGGTGATTTAACAATTTGTTTCCTAAATAACTAGTTTTTTCTTATAAAATTCCAAATTGTTCTGCTCTACCAATCGGTGTAATCTTGTGTTATATTTATGAATATACCTATTGCAATTTTTTCATTCATCAAAACAAATTTAATTGACTCATAAATGAAAAGACTGTAGACTGTGAATATTTTATGTATACAAAAGACTTGCCTTACCGAGGCCGTTGATCTTAAATTCAACATTATCCTCAATGCCCTTTTTTGCCGGAGCAAAACTATGTACATCAAATTCTACACTGATTGAATGAGTAATTATTATGATTTTTTTTTATTCTGTAGGGCTGCACATTGACATAGGCTACATCATTTTTTATGTTTAATTTCAACTTTTTACAAACCAATGTGTTGGGCCTATAGATATAAAAATATGGTAATTAAATTGTGATGCCTATTATTCAATTTTAAAATGTTAACCTCTAACTGAATCTCCTTATAATAATAAAGATATTTTAGTAAAGAGCTTCTTCATGATTTACAGTATGATCTCAATATTGTTTTTCCATTCTAGGTTCAATCCCGGGATTCATTTCCACATTACTTTAGGCTAGGCCTACATGGGGATGCAGCATTACTACTAAGTAAATTCCATTGGTGATTGGCGGGATTTGAGCTCAGGACCTTGGGACCGAAGTCCCGCACTCTACAGCTAGACCAGCTCGCATATAATCTCCTTGGAGTGTCATCCTTCATGGTTGATATGGAAAGTGAAACTGCTACTACCGAACTTGAAAATGGTGAGTTTGATATACAGTAGCAAATATTCTTTACAAAATACCTGCTTAATATACTACCGACAAATTATGGTAAGGCCTACTAAGTTGAGCTTAAAAAAAACAGTATTGTTGGCATCCTTACATGTAGCCTAATTTAAATTGTTCAATGTATGCCCTAGTGTACTATAGATAATCAAGATCTCTACTCAGCCAAAGAAGTTAACTAGAGGTAAGACTCTTTATAAGTATAATTCAACAAACCGGACTCGAGTGCCTTTTGATTTACCAGTATTATTATTGCGGCTGGTCAATGGTCGAGCAGTCTAAGGCTGATTTTATGCACAGTGGCAGTCACCGAGCGCTTCTAGTTGTAATGAGTTAAATGGGAACATTTATGCTTGTTGGTAGTTAAAATATGTGTCGCCCGAGAAGTCCAACATTCTCTAAATACTAGTGGCAGTTTTAGGAAAAACCGCCACAAAAAGTGTCGCCCGTTTCCTCTAAATAAAATGAAATCAAATAGGTGTGTTTATGTGTGACGGGTGACAGTTGTATTTCCATACTCTTTATTGAATATTTCCATATATATATTCATTGTTACAAACAAGTCGTTATCACAAATCATAAATAATGTTGCCTGCCATGTTATTTGTAAGAGACAGCACAATAGCCCCACCGTGATAAGCACAAATGAAAAACAAAACTACATAATTTAGTGCTTGATTTAAGATATTCAAAGGTAGCCTATATCAATAAACATTTTTTGCTCAACAGTAGGCCTAACAGTTAAAATACAAAAAAAAACTGTACCCATAGCAAAAAAAAAAATGCTCCATTTATTTTACATCTTCATTTAGTGCCCAATTTGTGCTTCTACATTATGTTTCATGCTTTATGCCCAAAAGACACCCGAGTCATTGCGGAAAAATCTTCTGACAAATTCCTTTGATGGCAGGCTATATGTAAAATTTGACCCATCGATAGTTTATTGGAATTTAAACAATTCTTAATGTTGAGCACAATTGTTTATTTTATACCTTTAGACAAGTAACTAAGCACTACATGATGGAGTATTTGTTACTATCTGGGCTCATCATGATGGGGCCAAATTAAAGCAGGGCTGTAGACTAAGGGTTCGAATCTCATCAAATTCCGGTTTGGTGTGTGTGCAACTTCTGTATGTGGTAGAGTTTGATAAGAGAAACTCACCTAATATAAATGGCGGATGGCTGAGGAGTAAGTAAGCAAGATGAGTGGATTCTATTTGAGCTACGCCTCAAATCAGGCATACATTCTTACTGTGTGTGTGCATCAACCTAAAACTTGTACGGAGGTGAATTGTACTGATAAAATGTTTATGGCAGTGACTAGGATCCACCACGACATCACTGCCTTGGGCCTGAAGTCTTTGACGCTACCGACTGAGCCACAGACTCACCAACAATCCCTACTTCTTAAAACATTTATACAATGAATTCTTCTCCGTCGGAACTCGTACTTTTGGCTGTTTTTCACCTGACTCGACTATCTCAATATTCTATTCATCCATTAATTTATTCACTTTGTTCTTCCAGATGTTAGCTCCAAACCACATATAACAGCAGTTAGGGCCCTATTACACTTGGTCACCAGGCGACGTCACTTGACTAGTTGGTGGGCACTGGTTCTTATGGCACCTATTACACTAGGGTCACTGGTTGCGTCACCACTGTATTTTCGTGTTCTGCAAGTTCAGATTGTTGCCAGTGTAGTGGGTGGACGTACTGATGAAAAGAAATGCTCATTCTTGCTCTTTTGTTGAGGAAAAGGAGGAGACAAGCAAGGAAAATGTACGTGCACCCCCAAGGAAAATGTAGTGGTATCTTTTTCACCACTACATTTTACATTAGACTGGCTTACTTTTACTGAGTCTTCTTCCCCTTTTCCTTTCCCTGCACCTCTTCCCCGTTTATTCACTAATGTTTGCTCACTGAACATTTTTTAAACTGAAGAGGTAAGACGTGGATAACAGAGTACTTTGTCCTTCAACGAGGTGACAGCGCTGAATGTATGTAGACACTGGAGTGGAGGAACTTTGGGGGTTGGTCTCACTCCTGATGACTTCTCTGGTGTTGAGGCTGGCTGCCAGTACAGTAACCAGTGACCTGGTGGCCTGGGTGCCTGGTGAAATAGGGCCCTAACAAGTACATACGTTTACTACTTCCATGGGGGGGAGGGGTTAATAAAGTGCGTTTTTAGTAAAATTTAAATAAAATTTGTAAATAGCTTAGCATGTAGACACTGGAGTGGAGGAACTTTGGGGGTAGGTCTCACCTCTGGTGACTTCTCTGGTGTTGAGGCTGGCTGCCCGTACAGTAACCAGTGGCGTCACCGGTGGCCTGGTGACCAAGTGTAATAGGGCCCTTATACTTCTTTATGTAATTACATTTTGTTTGGTTAGAAGATCACAGTGATGGCATTGTTGTTAAACAATTCTATTTGTTACACCACAGAACTCACTGAAAACACCAAAAGACTTCTTATACCGTTTTATGACTTTATTTTTAAGCAAAATCTTCTTTCAACGTTCCCCAAACCAATAAAATTCAATCCAATGTGACAAAGAAAAACATGTTGGTAAAAGATTACTATTACTTCTCTTATTTTACTACTCTTATTTTATTACAATGTTGGTTTCAGCTATAGCTAAATTTGTGGTGGGTCCATCGGTACAATACATTAATACTAGTATTTAGATCTTAAAATGCTTAACCTCAAGTTCAAAGTACTAAGGCCTACTAGTAGATATATGTGGTAAATAATTTAATACAGTACCGTATGGTACGTATTTTCAAAGACAAATGGTTTCTTAGAAAACGAAACCATTCATGAAAATAATATTGCTAGTAACACGCAAAGAAACAGCACCGCAACCAATATTTCGTGTCTAAATATTTCGTGTCCTGAACCACTGATTACTAGTAGAATGAAGTATTTTTATTTATTTATTTATTACCTGCACGGCAAACACCATTTTACAAGACAGTTTAGTTGACATTGATTGTCAACTGACATTGAGTATGAACTGTTGTCAAGAACACTAGTGCACAACATACGCAGTTAGTCAAGGTCAGACGTGTTGTATATTGATGGGTCAGACCAGCGAGCGTCGATGTGTTAGTGTTGTGTTTGTGGTATGTGTGTGTGTGTGTGGTGACTGGTGTGAGGGATGGTGAGCGGAGGGGTAGCTGGATGCTGGGAGGGGGGTGGAAGTGCTCTGACGCCGCGCCAGCGCCGTCCTAGTAACTCATTGACGACAAACAGACAACGCAGTATGCTCATCCTCTACTCGCTCCGCACAAGTTCATACGGACCGTTAACATGATTGGTAAACAGTATAATAACAGGCAGATAGCATTCATGATTTCACTTTGTACTTTCTTTGACTTATATAAAAATAAAAAATATAATGATTTTCTTTTGCAATACAAGACGGATTAAAAATATTTTCAACAATTTTTGTTTGAAAAAATCTGTGCCCGTGATGGCGCCCCCAACAACTGTCACCAGGGGCTCATGCTCCACGTTCCCCCCCCCCCCCCAGTTACGTCCATGTAACATATTTGGAAGGCAATTATAATCATTTTCAGCTGTCAGTGTTTTTAGAAACGGTACTGGCTAATGAAACAGCTGCTTAGTCAGTAACAAAGCTATACAAGGCATCTCGCTCAATTCTACACTCAATTCATCCTTCACTCTTATTTGGATTATAATACCTACCTAGGTAGGTATGTCCCTATCTTAATTGATAATGATGCATAGTGACACATTAATTATTTAGCCAAAATCATTTTACACATACTCATATCAAATTGAGGTCCAGATTAAGCAAACTCTTTATTATACAGCGTGAGGCAGTGAGAGCACCCCAATTTTCTTTTGTTTTCACACTATAAGTAAAGCAACAATGAATGAACAACTGTACTTATAACATCAATTAAACTATGCCATTTTCGTAAATATTATGCCTGAGGCTATTAACACTGAGATTTTGATGTGGAAACATATTTTTTAAATTGTGATTCATGTGCGAAAACCCAGAGATTGTTTGGACTATATTCCATCCTTGGTCAACATGGCGCTGTTCCAGATTGGAAAACAATGGTGAACTGGGTAAAATTATTTAGGATAAACGCTTAAACCTTAAAAATAATCGGTGGGTACCGCAAAAACTCTTTGTACACCAGCAAATGTTGAAAGAGTACGAGTCGCAGTAATTCAAAGTCCAAAGAGATTTGCTAGGAAGCTTTTGTTGTAAGCTTTAAGTTGGCTCCTTTTTTTTGAGGGGGGGGGTTATTCTAATAAGCTACTCGAAGTTCGAGGGTTTTCAAAGTCAACCCACAGATTTGCTTGAACCCAAGCTAAGAATTGTCCAAAAACTAAAGTGATTCCTGAAGAAATGCCGGAGGAGTATGTGATGGAGTTTTAAAGTGACTAAAAAGGAATGTCAAGTAGGACAAGGACGTCACTTGCAGGATTTTGTTTTCAAGCAATGGAAAAATGACTTTGTTAAGTTAAAATGGCAAAAGATAAGCTGTGTTTTGATGTGCTGTTTATATCCATAGGGTGAATATTATTGATTTTGTACTAATTATAAATTGGGGTGCTTTCATTTCCCCACCCTATATTAACGAGGTCTAAATTATTGAGAGTTTAGAACTTATAGTTTTACTGTAAATACATGTAACTACTCTAAAGCGAGCAATATTTTCAGGTCCAGGACCCCCGGAGCCTGTTGTTTGTTGTCGCTGTCGTCTCGACATCACAGCTGATCAACATGTGTTTGATTGTGACAGCTGCTCTCATTCAACATGCCTCGGATGCCGGTTCAAGGAAGACATTCCATGTTGTCTGTGCAAACCTCAGATTTCATCTGAGACAGAGAATACAGCTCCAAGTTTGAAAGAAATGTATTCTCTTCATTTCAAACGTAGAAAATTCAACAAAGACCATATTGTTGATGTGGAATGTAAGTACTGATATTTCAGTTTCTAAATATCAAAGAGGTACTACAAAGTAAGTCGCTTACCCTCCTTGTCAACAGTTAAATATAATTCAGGAAACTTTTGGCCAATAGTTTTATTTAAATTTGCCAAACTAATTTTTAATAATAATTCAAATGAAATGAGGTTGGGATTAATTAACTTGGCACGAGTCATAATGAATTGATGGTTGAATACTCTTCCTCACGCACCATTTAAATAGTACCGCAAAACATCAATCAATATAGCAAAAATCAAGTCTGGGCTATCTGTTGCACCACAGAGAAGTAAGATACAGAGGATACATTCAATAATAAAATTTAGTGGTGTCTAGCACCAGTTGCTGGTGTCTAGAGCAAATTCAATTTGTTGTCCTCTTCTGATCACCTTTCCCCCCTTGCCATCACGTACTACAGCGCTCACACTGTAGGAAGACCATGTGCGCTACAACTGCGGTATAAAAATGCTACGTGACAATCGCACATATGCTCAAAGTCAATTCAGCCATTGAAAACGCTTGGGAATCAATGAAGACCAAAAATTAACTCCTTGCACTCAATCCTTTGCCTTTAGTAACAAAAAGATTTAGGCCTATTGAAAAAGCAAACAATGATTAAGATTATATGTAAATATATTAAATGTAATGTACTTGATTGTAGAATTAGTCCTTTCTTTATGCTCTTAATTGTTTTACAGTGTCTACAGACGAGGGAAATGTTCAGAAGCAAATGTGCACCATATGTAAAAGGGTTTTTAAGAAAAGTAACGCCTATTACCATTACATGTGCGCTACGGGGGAAAAACCCTTTGAATGTCCGGATTGTGGCCAGAAGTTTGTCAAGAAAGGTCATTATGAATCTCACTTAAATACACATTATGGTGAGTAACCATAGTTTGGTGGTAAATACAAGGTTTAGATTTTTAAAATGTACATATAACTATGCATAAACATCAGGGATACCATTTTTGATTTGTAACTGAAGAATTAACACGTTTGTTAACGAGCGCCGCATGTATGAGACACTGAGGTCATTAGCGACATCTCCATTTCCCTTCTGCAAGGTTCGCCCTATCCATCTTCATTTTCTTTATTTTATTTGGACTTCAATTTTCTCTTGGTTCGAGCGACACCACAGCTGTTCGTTTATTGTTTCGGGCCACCTTATCCTCAGAAGTCTTCTCAGGCACTTATTGACACATGTTTGCAGCTTATAAGTTATATTTTTCTTAACTTGCTTTTAAGTGAAAAATTATTTGTTGTTCAAAGCACATAACAGTTCAATGGCTCTATTTATTCTTCTCCACACACCATTTTCAGTCCCTCTATTCTTGTTTATTACACTACCTAATTACAAGATGTCATCCACTTTCTTGACCTTGTTATTTTCAAGTGTAATCGTGCCTCGAGCATCGTCATTAACCTTCTTGTACTTTGTCCTTTTTTATCTTATGTCCTACCTTTAAGGTCTCTTCTCTGATTTTTTCTGTTGTTTAGTGTAGCTGCTGCCTTGTTGATGATATTAAACATACACCAACAGCAAATTTTCAAGTCTTTCATTTGTTCAAAGACTTTCTAAGTAATTCCTGTTCTTCCTTTGGTGCTCTCCCTCATTATGTGGTATATTACAAAACAATGTGCCTGACAATGATCACCACTTTTGCATTCAATCCTTTCAGATATCAGGCCTCCATGTATAAAATAAATTGAACTACACAAAACTATATTTTCTTGAATTATAGTGTTCACAGCGTTTAATGGAACAAATAAAGCTGCATAGGTTAATGACTTTGCACTTACTCATGACTTGCAGTTCCAAATTGTCATGAAATGTATAAGACCACACAAAAATGTATCTTCTTGGGTTAGAGTGAATGTTGTTTCTTTCTTGGTTATGGCATATTTTCCATAGTAGTAACTAAAACATGAGGACGTACAGAGGCGAATGGCTTATCTTTTGGGTCTGTGAAAATGAAGCTTTCTTTAATGAAGTAGTTTGAAAAATATCAGACACTGTTCCGGAGAGAACCATCCAGTAGATGGGGAAAAAATTTAATATATATTAAATGACGTTGACCTCCAGTCTGCTATCAACCCCTCGCCGTGCCACACTAAATCAGTATTATCATAAAATAGTGCTATCTAAATGTTTGTGTACACGTACCATTATTATGTTTTTTTATGTTAGTGTTTGTTTTAATTGTGTTCTTGACGAGTTTCATGCTTTGAGAATGTTGTCTTCGTCTTCGCAACAAAACATATAAGCTACTGACTGAGGAATCTTAATCATTGGACTATTCCTGACGGAGGAACGTAAAATCCAATTTTGTCGTAACACGTTCCTCTTATCTCTCCATTTCAAAACAGAACGGTGACATCCCCTTTTGGCGGCTGATACACTTGCCCTTCTTCCATTCAGCTTTTGTAACCACCTGTGGGTTACCTGCTCCATCTCTTTGTAGTGTACCACACATATTTGTTTGCTTGTTTCTCTGCTAGATCAACACTGTTATAAAAATTGTATAAGAAGTCGTCCAATGCTTTCTATGAGACCGTTAAGCGTCTACTGACTTTGAACTAAGTGTCACCAACGGTAGTTAATTACTTCAATGTAAACATATATGATTGTATATATTTTATCTGTTTAGGATAATTCCGTCAGAGGTGCACAAATTGTACAATTTAATACCATACTTGTGGGTTTTATTTTGAATATACTGGCCGAAAGAGTATCCCATGAAATTATACCATTGCCTCATCTAACGGCAGAGATTTTCTTTGAGATCCCATAGATCTGTAAGATGTGCCGAGAACGAGGTAGAAACATCGGAACACTTATGGCTGGACTGTCCAGCGTTGGCCCAAAGAAGGCTTACATCCCTGGGGAGGCCGTTTCTGGAACCAACAGAGATGAGGAAGCTGGGTGTCTTTCAGCTCCTGGGCTACTTGAGAAGCCTAGGGCTGTCAGAATGATTCAAGGGGTGCTGCAATAGGCCTCCAGGTCGAAGTAGCCAGGGGTAGGCCATTACCCCAACCCCATAAGGAGGAAAAAAAAGATGTGCCGAAGGACCTGGTCAATTTGATGCATTTTATGGTCTGTAGAAACTACTTCTGGATCGTAAAAACATAAGCAGTACAAAATACTTTCGTACCTGGTACGAGACATTGTGTTTCCTTAAATCGGATGTTCATATAACGCATCTTTTGACCAGTAATGGTTCAATGTAGGAAACCCATGTTTCTCATTAGCATGCTTAGCCCTTAAATCTCTTTTATGTAATCTCTTGTTTCCTCTGTCCATTTATTGAGGACTGCATGTTTAGTCAGAGGCTTTCCCCGTTAACAGGTAGCTCTTTTATTAGTCTAAGTACGATTTTATCGAGCAGTGCATCGTCAAAATGCTGCTAAAAACTTCAAATGTATCATTAGTTTGTATTTTCATTCCTTCACGTCCGGTAAAGTCAAAACATTAGGGACATTTTTTGCATCTTTCCATAAGCCTTCTACAGCCTCGTATTGTTCGTGAACAGCATTAACCACAAATTCTACATAAGGATAAACATCTAAATTACCTTCGTTTCCTTCATTATCGCCAACCTCTATGGCAGCATCTTGTGCTCTGTCGCCCTCTGTAGTCTCCAGAGTTTGATCCATTAGTTCTCTGTTGGTACTTTGCTCCAATTAGTCACAGTACTAGTCCTCCACAGGTCATCTTGAACTGAGTCCACTTCCCTGTCCAAATTGTCAGTATCGATTTATAGATATTATTTGCTCTTTCCATGTGATTAGAACAAGCAACTAAGCTCAGATTGCTTCTAACTGTAAAAATATATCTCGCGATCTATTTCACTGTTAAGTACGTAAAGGCACTGGGAATATAACTCTCTTTTTATTATGTTTTATTGTTTTTATCAAAGAAACTCACTTACACTTGGATAATGAAAAGATTCTTCATTATATTGAATTTTAGCCTCCTGATCGCATTTAAATACTATAAATTGGTGTAAATACCTGCATTTATGTGATCCTGTTTGTAGCTGAGTTGCTACCGGTTTCAACTCACATAGGACTCATCTTCAGGCTATTAAAGATGTCTTCTCGCTTCTTTGGGAGATCGTCAATAGATAATAAATAAATAAACAAAACACAAACACGTACACGGACATAAATAGTAGGGATGGACGAGATTGGATTTTTAGTTCGAGACGAGACGAGACGAGACGAGATTTTTTATTTCTCATAAAATTTCGAGACGAGATCGAGACGGGATTTCCCTTCTCATACACAACGGGAAATGCACGTTCAAAATTTTTACCTGATTTTGTAACATTGTTAGATGACTGTTTAGATACAAAAATAATGATAATAGGCAAGAATATTTACAATCTTTTATTAAAAAACATCAGCATAACATTTTTGTATTAATCACGCCTAACTTATTAAAAATGCCTACGATTAGGAAACATAGTGATATCAGTTAGGATAGAGTTCAACTTATCCCAAAATAAAATAAATCATAAAATAAAAGCAATATTAATTTTTATAAAATAGTTACTTGTTTTGACTTTTTATAGTAATAAAACATTCCTTACACTGCTTACACTTAACAAAACTTCTCAAATGTGATTAAAGTAATATTATTCAAATAAAAAGTAATATTTACATTTAAAGAATTAATTAAATAAGAACGCCTTCGCAAAGGAAACGCAACTACAACACGCTCCTGTATTGCGGGTATTGCATTGACTTTCTGCAGGCGTTTTTAATTTTTAATTTTTTTTTTTTTTTTTTTTATTCTTGTCTCGATAAAAATCTCGGCCAAAAATAAATCTCGTCTCGTGTAACGAGATTTAAAATTTCCCGAAAATTTCCCGAAATTTCGAGACTTGACCATCCCTAATAAATAGGAACATTTAGGGCAAAAAAATACTGAAACGGTAGGCCTACGGGACACGACGTGATCGGGCGGGAGTTATTACTCAGTCTAGGCCTATATATGTATCTAGTCCGAACAAATCCCTCAATCTCCTAGTCCTATGTAGACTCAGTCTAGGCATAACTCCCGGGTGATCACGTCGTGTCCCGTAGGCCTACCGTTTCAGTATTTTTTGCCCTAAATGTTCCTATTTATGTCCGTGTACGTGTTTGTGTTTTGTTTATTTATTTATTATCTATTGACTACCTTCGAATGAAGCGAGAAGACATCTTTAACAGCCTGAAGATGAGTCCTATGTGAGTTGAAACCGGTAGCAACTCAGCTACAAACAGGATCGCATAAATGCAGGTATTTACACCAATTTATAGAAATTATTCTTAGTAAAAGATGCATAGATTCACTAAGCAAAAGCACGAGCACAACTTTTGAGGTTATTATTCCCTCAACAGGTAGGCAGTGATGCAGCAAAGTAAAAAACAGTTTTGCTAACTATCATATCACACCACTAAACAACATACCAACACCAACAGACCAAGTGACTCACATAAATGAATTGGTTTAAATACCTGCTTCTAGCAATCCAATTGTTGCAATTTCTGTCACGCAACTAGTTTCGACTTCAGACAGAAGTCATCATCAGGCGTCCAGTAAATGTCATAACAATCACTTCATCAGAAGGTCGTCGATTCACACATGGTACATTCACAAGTAAACACGCACACGAACACGAACATAGTCACATAAAAAAGGTACATTTAGAACGATGATAATACTAATTGTTAACTTTAGGATGATGCGTCACGACCGGGTGAATGTAGCGTCTAGACTCTTTACGTGTGAATGTACCATGTGTGAATCGACGACCTTCTGATGAAGTGATTGTTATGACATCCACTGGAAGCCTGATGATGACTTCTGTCTGAAGTCGAAACTAGTTGCGTGACAGAAATTGCAACAATTGGATTACTAGAAGCAGGTCAACGTAATCAAATCAAATCAAAAGATCTTTATTCACATTTGTAAATACATGTTTACATGAATAGTGTCAAACAATTAACATAAAAATAATTACATGAATAGGTAGGCTACAATCAAAATTATTAGTAGGACAATATTGATCACACTACTCCAGGTTGCAATGGTTGGTCTGAATTTTAAGATCTATTATCTGTTCTAAACTTAAAAAAGTCATCAAATGAATAAAGTGCCCTCTGTATCAAAAATTCTTTCAATTTCACTTTGAAACCTCTATCATCCTGCATGCTTCTTATGTGATCTGGTATGTGATTTAGGAATCTGATACCGTTGTATGAAGTTTTTCTTTTGAACAATTCTAATTTATGATTTGGTAATACTACTTTATTTTTATTCCTAGTGTTATAGCTGTGGATATCTTTATTTGTAATAAAACTATTTATATTATTTTTTACAAACATTATGCATTCTAAAATGTATAAGCTGTTAACAGTCAAAATTTCAAATTTAGTAAAGAAAGTTTGGACAGATTCATTGTTCTTAAAGCTTAATATGGCCCTTAATGCTCTTTTTCTGTCCAATTAGTATCTTTGTCAAATTTTGAGCAGATGTTCCACTGTAGACACAGATCCCATAAGAAACATGGGATTGAACATTGGCAAAATAAACACTTTTTAATACATTCGTATGGCAGAGATAATACAGTCTTCTGATGGCATAGATTCCTGAGTTAATTTTCTTTAAGACATTATCCACGTGCAGATCCCAACTTAGATTTCTATCAATGATAAGGCCAAGAAATTTAGTATTTTCAACTTGCATAATTTCTTCACTATCTATGTAAATATTTATTTCCTCTTTAATTTGTCTTTGTTTAGTGCAAAATGATATGCAGTTAGTCTTTTGAGTGTTCAAAATTAAATCGTGAGTGATAAAGAAATCTTCAATTTTTGCTAACTCCACAAAGGAGTGAATTTCTAATTCTATACCAGTTTTTGCAGACATTATAAGGTTTGAATCATCGGCGTACAAACAGAGCTGATTTTTGATAGAGTTTAATTTACTTAGGCAATTCGGCATCCGGAGGCTAACATATTTTTGATGTTAGCCTCCGGATCAATCCTCAAATCACATACATGCGACAGACTTCCCTGTAGACCATTGCACATAGATATAAGCTTATTTATAACATTGGGACTCTGACTCAAATATGCGACGCCATTCTATTTTAATGTGACCAGCCATCACATATGTGTAACGGCAGTCTGTGAGAAAAAAAGGCTGTCGAATATGTACATCGCTGGTTTATTTGAATGAAAAATTGTGTACTATTGCGGTAGCGATTAAACTTAACACTCGCTCACAACACAATCTTAATCTTAAGCCACAAATACACAAATGAATAAAAGATCTGACAGCGTAATAACAATCGAAAGGTAGAGTAGCGGGGAATACTGCTAATAATTAGGTATGGAAACAGGAACCTTGATTTGAAAAAAGACTTTGAAACAGTTATTTTGAAAGCATAATGCATATTTTACAATATATCCAGCTCCCCAGCAGGACCCTGTCCTCCAACCCAACACACCACAAACTCACACCAACCAGACCTCCAGATTGAGTAGACTGACCTACCTAAGGGTAAAAACACCTTGGAGCAGGGAAGGTAGAATACTCGCTGGTCGCTTGTAGCCTAGCTGGCTACTTGGCGGAGCTGTACACATACACACTGATGTTTGCTTACTCTGATATAGAATCGAAACCAGCGTTAACACAGGTATGTACATAGTCACACCTAGCAGGCAGCCGAGATGGTAACAGTAGGCGGCAAGGATTGCCAAGTCGATTGTTTGCTAGCTGTAAGCGAGAATAGCTAGACTGGGACACAGCACTTTACAACTATGTAGGTTTTTGAATTTGTATGTTCCACATGGGACTTTCCACTACACATTCTCTGTGTACGGCTTGTTGTTTGATTAGTTTACATGTTATTGTTTTGTATACATGAATTTAAATAATGAGTGTAGGAAAAATATAGCAGAGGTTTTCATTTGCTTGCCTTTGCGGAACCAAGCCTACCTGGATCACCACAACTGTCACATTTTTAACAATTTGTGAAGTAAAATAGCAAAACTAGAATTTAATATTTTCGCTGCGGCCTACCAATCATTGGCAGTCGTAGCCCCTGTGCGGCGCAGCATCGAGCATTTGGCTTTCAAATATTTCGGTCTGATGAATAGCAAATAACGAGCGTCGACGTAGTTTGCTGAGACACTCACAGATAGCAGCACTGTCTGGAACTAGCCGGTCCCATCGTATTGCTAATTGGTGGCAGAAAGACAGGACAGCAAGTTGATGTTTAAGCCTGCCAGAAAGGGATTTTTCGGGGAAATTTACTACCAACCTACACCACAATAAAGTACCCATTCCTAGCTTAACGCAGACATAAAAATACCCGTTCTTCCAAGTGTGCTGCTGCGCAGAAATTGAATGGAATGTAGGCGATGTCACCACTTATGGGTAAGTGTTGAGGGTGGCAGAAAGGAACTAGAGCACTCACCGGTGAGTGGCCCGCAGAGAACGTGTTAAACTTAAGTTCAGATTAATATTAGGTACATAAAATTTGATCACATATAATTGGGGAATATTCTTGACCACAGAGGAAACTAAGGTACCAAAGTCAACATGGTAATACCTAATCCTGGTCTATGGTAAATTTTTGTTTTGACCTGTGAAGTTCCCACTCGCCAAAATTACTATTTATTCAAAAAGATAAACTGCAGATGGTTTTTATAGCAGAAAACCTGTGCAAGTCAGTCCCTTTGTTATTTTGCTTGGCAGTAATAAATGCTTGTTATGAATTTATGCTAATTCATGATAAGTTACTTTATGTAGTATTAGGGTCTACATGGATATACACTGGGATATTTTTGAGTATGTAGGTTCGCTGCTACAGGGTATGTGTATTTTCATGTTTTAACTAGTATTTATTTATTTATAACTCACCATCTATCTATGCTCGCCAACTATAGAATCATTTCTAACTCAATACCACCTGGCCAACGTTTAATGAAATGTTTGTTAGCAACATGTCGTGATTTCCGTTCAACAACAGCAGTTGGTGGCATGTAGCTCTGTGAGCAGTGAACTGTATCAATCTGATTTCGTACTGATGTGGTACAAAGCAATTACACTTGATAACTCTTCAAAATACTGTAATCAACTCCATAATTTTACATCGATCAAATTTATTTAAACAATCAAAACGTAGGCAATCCAGTATTTTGTTCTTTTTACTCATCGCATTCTTTTGTAATTCTCTGGATAAAGCTTGAAAATACTTTAAATAATTACATGCTTTTATTTAATGCAAGTATAATGTTAGATGACAAGCGACTGGCTGAGTGCCTTTATATGTGTGTCCAGCTTCCCGCCAAGGACCAGCCAAGCAACAAGCAAGTGTGCGAGTGTAGATCCTGCTTTACTGTGTTTTTAACCAAAGGCAACAGCCTTTTGAAGCACAAGTTTTTCATTGTTTTCAAACACTTCCAGCCTACTCACACATCACCAAAAACCTCCTCTTTAAAATTTGACCCCTCTTATTACATTGATGTTATAAATTCTCCTGATATGATTGAGAGTTATAAAGATATTTAATACTAGTTGTCCTCAAGAGGTAGTTATGTCCAAAAGTGTGGTTGAAAGCAACCGTGTGGATTGAAGACTTTGTAGTCTGCATTTGTTGGCAAACAGCATTAGTTTTGCAGTTTCTATACCTAAATTGATGGGGGAGCGAGCTGGTCTAGTGGTTAGAGCGCAAGACTCCGGTTCCAGGGGTCCCGGGTTCAAATCCTGCCAAATCACCAATGGATTTTATCTTAGTGTTAAAGCTGTAACCCCTAGGTCTAGCTTGAAGTAATGTGAAAAACAATTCCGGGCTCGTGCTTAACATCCCAGGACAAAAAATCCTTGAATTGAAAATTTTTTTTTTCATCGCGTGAATAAAACTAACAATCTTACGCAATTTTATTATTTTTTTAAATAAACACAAAACTTAAATTACGGTTCACATACAAATTACATTTTTGTGGATAATGTAGTTGGGGAATTATGAAAACCCGTAAGGATTACCTGTACACTTTTATCATCACTGTTGAGATGCCAAAATTTCTTGGCCATAAATTTATAATATTAAAGTACTGTAGAGTCTCAGATAATACAATCTTTGCTTCATCCACCCTTATTACAGATGATTGATTTAGGATTCTTTATACCAAAAGTTTCTTCAAATCCTCGTACCTGCCAACCTTTCTGCTCATATCTTAGTCACAATTTAGTCAGAAACCTGTGATTTTAAGACCACTTCCAGTTTCATGGTTAAATTGAATCAATATGTAATTTTTGTTTATTGCAAACTGTTTTTATTACCTAGATGTATAATCCAGTAGGCTATTGACATTTTTACCTATTATAGGTATCCGGTGTATTATACTTACCCCATATACACGGCTTCAAAATTAAAACAAGTTAGTGATTTCAATGGAAGACAAAATAAAAGCGTCAATTAAATTTCAAATTAGAGAAAATTCATTAGTTTACTGACTTTGTCATGTTTATTATGGTTGTAGATTAATTCCCATCCAATTCAACCTTTTAGCTTCTCTGACCTTGCTACAAACGGTTCAGGTCAGATATTCAAGACCCAACCGTATAACTCGTACTTTGGATCACTTGGAAGAGATTATTATCTTTTTACTACATAACATTAAGTTGTATTATTAGTCCTTTGTACCTAATGTTTTTCCATGTTTTTATGTCTAGGAGTCCGGCCGTTCAAGTGTCCTGAGTCTAAATGCAAAGCAAGTTTCACACAAAAGGATAAGTTGATCCGCCATCAAAAATCTCATAAAAGTAAGTTCCTTTTTGACCATTTATGAATTGAAGTTTTATTTATTTGCTTTTTGAGTTGAAGCATTTTGACCTGCGTAAGGATTAAAATTTCGTCATATTTCTGACGTTGGCTACACCTGGAAATATCTCGATTAAGTTATTTCTCTTGTATATAGGGTGTTTGAGAGTTTTCCACCAGAAAAAAACTTAAGTGTAGCAGCAACTACGAGATTGTACACATGTCTAATGGTTTTGTATGATTTTTTAAAGCACTTGAGTTGTCCAAAATGTATTGGAATGACTAACCCCAAAAAAAACCTACGCTCACTGTTTGTGCATGTAAAACCCAGCGAAACGACTGCAATTTGTATCTGACTCGGGCTGCAACTAGGGATACAAGCTCAGAATAACCAAGCCAGTTTTGGGTTTAAAAGTCTTATCATGGCCGAATGGTCCATGATGTATAGCTGTCCAGATAGAAATCAGTTCAGTTAGAAATCAGAATCAGAAATCTGTATTTGCTATTGACCACGTTACTGTAAAATTAATAGACTTCCTCATACATTCCCATTCATTGCTCATGTTCATACTGTAATGGTCACATTTTATTGGGGGGTTCGTTTTAATTATTTAAAGGCCGCGAAGGCTTGAGCGCGCTTGACAACAATGTCACACATGTCCACTGCAGCTGGTCATGTCTCCTAGTTCGAGACTCGGCCGCTGTCACCTTGAAGCGCTGCCGTAGACGTGGTGGGGAGAAGCCGAGACCAGCGGACAGTGGACACTGGACAGTTCTTAGGACAGTCGGCGTCGAGCGTTAGGTTCGCGCACACCAACCAACCCTCCTTAGGCCGTGCGAGCGAACCAAATAATAAGGTATCCGGACGAAGGCGAGAGTAACCCGGATGCAAATCTGGAAGTGTCGTGTTACGTAAGTACACTGTATATAGCTAGCGTATACGTTGTATTCATCCCCGTATCCACTTTGGCGAGGGAAATTGCGTTATTTATTAGGCTATTCTAGGACGTTTATCGTAGTTTATTATAGAATAACGTAGTTTATCGACCGACGCTGCGAGTGTAGTGTCGCAGTCACATACGCCGACTTTTAGTCATCCAAAGTGGTTTTGTTTTATTGTAATCAGGAGTTTTTATTTATTTTCCTTAAAGCCAAGAAGAATTGGCCTAGGTGCCTTCTACGTTTTGTTTTATTTCATTATTTACTTATCGCGAGTTAGCGTCGTTTTCTTTTAATTCCGAGAAGATTATTTTTAGTTTTATTTCGAGAAGGGAGATCTTTTGTTAAGCCTAGGAGCTGGTTATTTATTTTATTTCCTAATCGTCGCCTATTTATCTATCAGCCCTAGTAGTTAGCTTAGACTTGGCCTTGTCAGCGCGTCGCTGTGCTGACACCAAGTTATAGGAGTAACTATAGTTAGTGTATTCCTTAATAGCAACTCGTGTACGGTGCGTCGACGTGCCGAGGTACACAGTGTGTACTTGTGTACTAGCAGATCGGCGCGACATTAACATCTACGAAGATCCAGAAGTGGGAAGCGAGCGACGAGGATTGTCAGCGAGACCCTGGACTACTCGAGCTGTCCGAGCAAATCGGAGGTAAGTTTACGATAGGTGCCCTACCCGACATAAACACCTCACAAAGTGGCGCCTCCGAACAGGGACATTGAAAGTTTCGTTATTATCGTAATATTCATACGTGCTTCACGTATTGGCGCCCGAACGGTAAAATCGATATCGTAGTGGTTTTTTCTTTGGAATATAAGAAAAAGCGAAAATGGTAGGATCGAGTGTTAGCGCGAAAACTACGCCTAAAACGGTCAGAGCGGTGACTGAATCGACCTCGACTACGACGACTACAACTGCCGGGTCTTTACAAGCTCAAGTAGCGCAAACTATTTCACAACCAACTGTGCCATCGACTTTAAGTTTTCCCGCTACGACCGCAGAGGCTACTCAGCCTCAAGTAGGTACAACGACGACACAGTTAATGGTACCAACGACTTTAAATTTACTTACTACGACTGATCGTACGTTGACGTCTAAGAGTCCCTCAGAGGATGACCCGCGAATTGGGTGGATTCACACGTTAACCAAGGATGAACTTCGTTACGAAATGAGTCGATACGGTTTGCCGAATATGGGGACAGTCGAGGAACTTCGAAAATCTTTTTGTAAATTTTTGAAACATGGCATTCCCCGAGCAGTGTACGGTAAGGACGTGAATGATAGCGTGGACGGTGCGACTGCACTTCCACTCGGCTATGACACGGGATATGTCGACTCGCGACCAGGTGCCAGTGACATACGAAGTACGGAACTTGACAGAGTACGGGAGATAGTTGGTTTGCCTCCAGGAACCAACTTTGAGGACGTTTGTCGTTCGTTATCAAGCCTAACAATGCGCGCTGATAACAATCAGGCCAACAATCAGGCTAGTAATTATCCAGTCAACATGACACAATCAGATCGTTTTACAAATTCCGAGGGGTTAGTGTATAGTACACTAACCAGACCAAGTGTTAACTATGCTTTCGACACCTCCCACTCTACAGATTTGATTAATCGAACTACGGTGCCCGGTACCGGTCAGCGACCGTACGGTGGGTTCGCGAGCGAACAACTAGGTATTGCTACACAGGCAAGCGTGAATCACGGATTCAGTAGTGGTTTGCCTTCGTGTCACGAAAATTCGAACGTAATTCGTAAGGTTGGCGTTGACGTCTCGGCGTTGTGTAATCTAGTTCGAAAGTGGAACGTTCGTTTTGACGGCTCTAAAGACCCCGTTTCTTTCTTGGAACGCCTGGAAGAGCTTATGGAGGCCTATGAAATAAATAAGAACGATATTATACGAGCACTCCCCGAGCTACTACATAGTAATGCACTGTTGTGGTATCGAAACTATAAAGACTCCTGGCATAATTATGAGTCATTTAAATCGAGTTTCGAACTACAATTCCTACCACCGGGATACCAGCGAAATCTAGACGAAGAAATTCGGCGTCGTACTCAAGGTGACAACGAAGCTTTTAGAAACTTTGTTGTGGCTTTAACTACTCTCATGCGACGCAAGGGAACCCTCAGTCTCCACGAACAATTGAATATTTTGTATACGAATATGAGACCCGAATATAAGTTGACGATGAGGAGACACGATTTTTTCTCGGTCGACGAAATGCTCAGACAAGCGGAACACGTTGAGAGCTATTTTAGGGAAAAATCTCTTTTCCGTCCCCCTCCCCCTCCGTCAGCAGCGTTGGTCCCCGAAACGGCTTATCACCCGAGATGAGGACGCGATAATAAATCGGGAGATAATTTCGGAGTTTCGACGATTGGCGAGTGTCAGTCATCAAACGGCGTGACGGGACGATTAACCGAGAAGCGCGTAGGCTTCCGGTCAGAGGCAAGACCACGTAGGTCACGAGAGAACTCCCCGAACCCCCGGACGAGTAATTTTACGAGGACCTCGTCATCTACGAGCCCACGACGTCGCTCGGAGCGTGAGCGTGAAGGTTCACCCCGAGAGAACAATACAGTTTCGCGATTGCCCGATAATGTGTGCGACAATTCTACTATCACGTGTTGGAACTGTGACAAGAAAGGCCACATGTTTCGTGACTGCCGTATGCCGAGAACTCTAAAGTGTTTCTATTGTAAAAAGGTGGGCATCCGCACCCACGACTGTCGGTGCCAGGGAAACGATCGACGGGTTCAGGAAGAAGGAGGTCGCCTGAATCCTCAGTAGTGCCTACTACGAAGACCTCCCCGGACTGGTGCGCTTGGTTAGAGAAAATTAAGAAATTCCCGGAAACCGAGAACGCTCAGATTCAGACCAACGACAGACGACCGCACGTATCAGTGACGATAGCAGGGCGAGAGTTCGCCGCGCTAATAGATACTGGTGCCGTAGTCACGTTGATCGGCATGGCGGTTGCACGTCACTTGGAACGGTCTGGAATTATGTCTGTTTCGACTCCCACGGTAGTGAGACTCGCGAACGGTAGCTGTTCGAAATCGGACCAATCCTATCGTTTTAAGGGTTCGATTCAAGGTCGCGACGAGGAGTTCTATACATTGTATCTCCCCACTCTCACTAGTGACGTGGTTCTCGGTATCGACACTCTCGAACGACTGGACTTGGTGACGTATAACGTCGAGTTAGATACTAGTAGGACGAACGTCGCCGGCGAGATTGTCGAATTAAGCGCAGTATCGGACTTGACTGAGGGCCAAAAGAAACGATTAGGCGAATTTCTAAAGGCCGAATTGCCTTTATTTGAAAGCGTTTCTGGCCGCACGGAACTGATCCAACACGAGATCCGTTTAAAGAAAGGAGTTACTCCAATCAAGCAGCGGTATTACCCGCGAAATCCCGCTATGCAGGAAGTGATAAACGCTGAAGTGGATCGTATGCTAAGTGACGGGGTAATCGAAGCATCTACTAGTGGATGGAGTTCCCCTGTAGTGCTTATTAAGAAACCTAGTGGAAAATATCGGTTCTGTATAGACTTTCGACGTCTGAATGATTGTTCAGAGAAGGATGCTTATCCCCTCCCTAGAATATCTGCCATACTTGAAAAGTTGCGAAAGGCACGATTTATTTCCACACTCGACTTGGCTAATGGATATTGGCAAGTGCCGTTGGCGGCGGCGAGCCGGCCTCTCACTGCCTTTACGGTTCCTGGGCGCGGGCTGTATCAGTTCACATCGATGCCATTCGGTCTTCATTCGGCTGGCGCGACTTTTCAAAGGTTGTTGGATAAGGTAGTCGGTCCGGAATTGGAGCCTAGGGCGTTCGCGTACCTGGACGACCTCGTGATGATCTCTGAAACCTTCGAGGAGCATCTCGATTTGTTATGGGAAGTGCTGGGTAGACTCAGAAAGGCGGGGCTAAAGCTCAATGTTGAGAAGTGCCAGTTCTGTCGGACCGAACTGAAGTATCTCGGCCACGTCGTTAATGCGAACGGTATTGGTACAGACCCGGAAAAGGTTAAAGCAATCGC